CAACGTAAATGCGCCACCCACCTTGAGAAAGTTCTAAGGTCTCAAGTAAGTTACAACGGCTGCCCCACCCTTCAAACCGAAACGCATTATTGCTTCACGGCAGAAATAGGCAGGGTGGTAGTACCTCCCCTCGCTAAAACCGAGAACGGCCTGGGGACCGTATTTTTTGGCTTTTAATTTTTGGTCCTTTGAAATTATTTGTGGGAGGTTCTCAGCAGAAGGTTAAAGGTAGATAAATATGAAAATGCTGGGGGGAATTTTAAATATACGACGATCTATCATCATCATCATCATCAGCCTTTATCTGCCCACTGCTGGACATAGGCCTTCCCCAATGCCTTCCACATAATGCGGTCCTCCGCCTTCCGCATCCAACGACTTCCCGCCGTGCGCACTAAGTCGTCAGTCCACCTGGTTGGAACGCTTCGATAGAAGTGCCCTATGCCAGACCCTGTCGAAGGCCTTCGCGATATCAAGGCTCACAGCAAGAGCCTCGCCCTTGCTCTCCAAGGCTTCAGCCCACCTGTGAGTAAGGTATACAAGAAGATCGCCAGCTGAGCGACCGTGACGGAAACCGTACTGTCGGTCACTGATCAGCTGGCGATCTTCAAGATACTTCAGGAGTTGTGTATTTATAATTCGCTCCATCACCTTGGAAAGCAAGGAAGTTATCGCGATAGGCCTGTAGCTCGATGGGTCCGACCGGTCACCCTTCTTGGGGATAGGGTGGACGTGGGCGGTCTTCCATGAAGACGGAACCCTGTTAGTGCAATAAGAGAGGCGATACAAACGCGTTAGCGCAGGTGTCAGCTCAGGGGCGCACGTTTTCAAAACCACTGCGGGGATGCCGTCTGGCCCACTCGACTTATGGACGTCCAGGAGTCGGAGCTCCCGCCTGACTGCACACTGTGTGAAGCAGATATCCGGCAGGGAGCTATCACACCGGGGGATGTTCGGTGGTGTGGCACCCCCGTCGTCCACAGTCGAGTTCGAGGCGAAGAGTTTGACCAGAAGGTCAGCCTTCTCTTTCGCGCTGTGGGCCAGATTGTCATCGGACTTGCGCAGTGGTGGGAGACTAGGCCTGCAGAAGTTTCCTTCTGCAGCTTTGGCGAGCGACCAAAAAGCACGGCTCCCGGAGGGATAGCTCTTCAATCGCTCTTCAATCGTAAATGCGCCACCCACCTTGAGAAAGTTCTAAGGTCTCAAGTAAGTTACAACGGCTGCCCCACCCTTCAAACCGAAACGCATTATTGCTTCACGGCAGAAATAGGCAGGGTGGTGGTACCTAAACTAAACTCTCGCTAAAACTCGAGAACGGCTGGACCGATTTGGCTAGTTTTGGTCTTAAATTATTTGTGGAAGTCCATAGAAGGTTTAAAAGGTAGATAAATATGAAAATGCTGGGAATTAAATAAAAATAACGGACGGATTCCTTTTGTTTGTTTTATGTTTATTTTATACAAAAACTTAGGTCTTTTATTTATCGATTGAGGCACTACGAAGTCTGCCGGGTCAGATAGTAAATAATAAAAAAAAAAAATAGCATAATTATATAGTTACATCACAAGATAAAAATACTTTAAGAGAATATTTTCTAAGATTTTCTTTTTCGTCAAGCCAAAGGAAATTTTCCAAACAATTTACAAGCAAATCGTACGCGACACAAAGTAAATAAAAATCGTTCGTTTAGATCAAACGATTCCATTCTGAATTTAGTAATCGTAATTCCTTGAAACCAAAGAAACGGAGAAATCATCGAGAAGCCATTAAATTCAGTCGCTTCACAAATAACCCTTTTTTTTTTTTAAATTTTTTTTTTTTTTTGACTCTGGGTAATCCGTTTACGGATACCCGGTCTGGGGGGGTAACGAACGTGGTTATGTCAGACTACGGCGCCTCCTGAGAGGAAGAGGGGGACGAGGAGGGCCAAGGTCCTCCACTTCACCGAATTCCTCGCAAGAGACTACGCCTTGAAAAAGCAAGCGAAGCACTTGCCCCGCAGAACGACTTCCGACTAAGCCCCATCGAGCTCCACCACACCGGCTACACCAGACCTACGGTACCGCAGTGCGCGCCGAATCACATGTAAGCCTGCCTAACAGTGTAGGTAATTCACTATACATTTATTTCCGTGATTGAAAACGCTGAATATTCGACTGGAACCGAACATTTGCTACTCCTACTGCTGGTAGGACCTCTTGTGAGTCCACGTGGTTGGGTACCACAACCCTGCCTATTTCTGCCGTGAAGCAAAAAGGGCAAAAAAATTTTTTTTTCGAACCTGTGGAGGAAGCATCTTTCTTTAGTTGCAAAATGAATTTCTAACCTTCCCTTGACTTTGTTTCGGGATAGAAATACACAGGATCCCTAGCGCGTCTAGCATACAAAACGTTCAATCACCAGCCAATGCACTGTCAAAGAATTTTGGCATGAAACTAGGAGAACGCTGTCTGTACTACACGACGCTCACCAGAAAAGGTGGAACTATTTAAGTCCCCCAGAATACTAAGTACTATTTATGGGATATTATTCTTATCAACCAAGCCTTTTTAGCGGTTATATTCACCATCGAAGGATAGTGTCAGTGGATATGTAACTGTACAATTTTAATGACTGGATTTTTTTTATTGCTTAGAGCTCACAGCCCACCTGGTGTTAAGTGGTTACTGGAGCCCATAGACATCTACAACGCAAATGCGCCACCCACCTTGAGACATAAGTTCTAAGATCCCAAGGATAGTTAGTTACGACGGCTGCCCCACCCTTCAAACCGAAAAGCATTACTGCTTCACGGCAGAAATAGGCAGGGCGGTGGTACCTACCCGCGTGGACTCACATGAGGACCTACCACCAGTTTTTGATTCTAGTGCAATTAAAGGAGGTAGCTACGAAGGTTTTCGCAAATGCCTTTGATGTCGAAGATTGTCAAGTGGAAAAAGGTACTTCCTTGCGACGAATAGTCCCATTAGCGTTTGCCAAATAACGTACAGTGATTTGAATATAACTAGTGGTCCCCCGGTAGTTGAAATTCTACTATAATTAAGTGAAATTATAAGTTTGTACATTATTATGATTCTATTTTCAAAGACTACATATTATACTTCTTTATTCATAGATTATAAGTTAAGACTATGTATACTTTAGACAAATATTAAGAAAGATAAACAATATTTAATCTATTCTCAATCTGACCATAGACTACTCGTATAAGCAATAAGAAAAATTTGACAATAAACAAATAGTATGCACGCGTGTGTGTGTCAAATACTATGGTAGTGTGTAATGTATTTTTTATGCATAATTAAAAAAAAAATTTAACATTCTGCACTCCTCTATATTCTCTACAAGTGTGGAAAATTTCATAGTTCTCCGTCCGCGCAATTTTCGTAAAAAGGGATAGAAAGTTTTTGCTTCACGTATTAATATATAGATAAGATAAAAACCTGCTCCAAGGAAGGTGAATAGGCCACTGACGCAGGCTAGGTTTGCCAGTCTATGCTCTTCATCTTTGATTTTCGGTGCTGTAACATCATAATTATCATGTTTTTAACACGCTTTTATCAGCTTCAGACGTATCTATAATCTTTGAACATGATTTTGACCCCCTTCAAAACGTCGGACTAACTCGAAATTTGGTTCGAGTTAGTCCGAAACTCAAAACTCAAACTCAAAAATTGAAATTCAACAAAAAAATGAAAAATTAATAATAGTTTAACAAAACTAACAAAATACGTTTTTATAGAAAACCCAACTAAAAAATAGAAAATAAAATTTAATAAATTTCAATTAAAAATAGTGTAAGAAAAAATGATTTTATTGTAAAAAAAGCGTGGGGTGCTTTTCAAGATACTATCAAAATAACCCGTCTACACATATCTGTTCATAAAATGTTTATAACTACTGATACCATGCACCCCTATTTTTTTTTAACTGTTATTGATTATTTATTGATTCTAATTAATATAAAGCCATTTGTCATCTGGTAAGTAGTGTATTGTTTTGAGAAGGTAAATTAAATAATTGAAGCATACATTTTTGTCGATATTAAACGATTCATATTTAAATCAAACAACCTAATTAACAAAGGCTAATTGAAAAAAAAGAGGTGGAAATTCATCTGTCACAAAAATGAGAAACGAAGTTAATTAGCAAACAGAAAAGAAATGGCTTTACAGCTCTGACGCCGAGAAAAACACTTAAACTATTATTATTTTCCTGGAAAATTATCAAGCGATGGAGAGTCTTATAAGGGTAGGTATAAGTCCGCAGACCGTCAGGGGAAATATCACAAATTCAAACCTTGCTCCCAGTTCGTGTTGTTGAGAAAATTAGGTTGATACTTTGAAACTTTAGAACAGCGTGGAAGAAGTCCTAACTAATGTTGTTATTGTCGAGTGATAGTGCGAAGCGGTTAAATATGATTTAAGCATTAATAATGTGTATTCCAGACCCTTTTCGTGGGTAGCTCTCATGAGACAGATAAACAGGGTCGGTATTAGGTACTGCTTTATATAGATGTTTTATATAGTTGTGGATACATGCAGCCAAATCCTCGCCCGAAGGGAGCGCAGTTTAAGCTTTACAAGGAAAATAGTTCAGTTAGAAGATTCGAATGCATTAATCTTTAGCTTGTATATAGTGAGTACAAGTGAACTATTTTATTTTGTGTTCTAAAACCAATAATTTTCTGAAGTGCGGCGAACCATGAGAAGCGACGCCGAGTCACCAAAGCTACCAAACGAACCGTATAACTTGAGGTGTACAAGATTCATCAAATTTAACAATGGATCTTGAGACACGAATTGTCTGTATATTGGTTCTCGTCTCTGGTGGCTTATCCAATTGTCCAACTACGACCAAGGTGTATTTCTAAAATAAATTGCATATTGTTACGCCGGTAAGAGTAATGCCATCTATCGCTGAAGAGCAGAAAAAAATCGAAAGAACCAGTAAAATCGAGAACACTCGGGAAAGGCAACGCCATCTATTATCAAATCGCGGAAACACATATCGAAACGTCTGGCGTTGCCGAGAATGTTCTCTATAATTTTATAGATGTCGTATCGACTATAGAAGCGTTGTAGAGATGACACGAAAGCAGTTAGTAATCGGATCTACTCGAAGCGAAACAGCGAACGGATCACCTGACGTGAAGCGGAAGAAGTGAATTACGAAGCTTAAAGTGTTCTCTAAGTGTTTTTAAGTGTTAAATAGAGATTGAATTTGTACTTCGCTAAAAAAATTCTTTAACAAGAGCCCCAGCGCGTATCAATATTGTTGTGACCTGTCTTCACTCTAACTCACTTGGCAGCATACCTGTCAACTTGGATACTCAAAGAATCTTTATTAAAAATTTAAATTATTCACGAACCGTCTTTAAATCGTACACAGGAACGAGTGATTTTAGTCACGGCCAATGCTATGATACCCATCCAGACGATAGCTGCAACTAGAAGGTAAATCTGCAAGATATAAAGTGCCACTTAATGGTACTAGTAAATCGTTCTATCCATCCCTTAAATAATTTCAATGAGGTCGGAACTCTTAATGTATGAGATTTACAATATAATCCGAACTTATTTTGAGCTGACGGAACTATCATTTTAATTAATTTAGTTGTTGATCTCATATTACAAGACGTTATTGGGGCAACGTCAACTAGTCAGTAAACACAAAGCTCCAGGTAGATAAGCTCGTCTTGTCGATTCCATGAATAAATAAATACCTTATTACCACCTATCATCTCTTCGAAGTCAAATGACTCCTTACCTAAAGTGTTAAGTCATAAAAAAATCTTTCGACTTTTTATCTTTGTAAAACCCAAACCTATGCAGTCAGTACCAAAAGATACATCACTTTTAGCAAATTTCGCTCATTTCGTATCCGAGCTAGTGACGTGGCATCTTCTGACGTGAATTCTTCCAGGAATATAATTCCCGCATTTGTTTCAAAATATTTCCCTTGAGATTTTCACGCTTGAATTACGAAAGTTCTCAGAAATAACCCATTTCGAAATACATATATCACAAGACGAAATATTTACCTGATTACACCCATTTTAGATAGTGTGTAAAAATCTACCTTAAAAACATTTTTTTGTATACGTACTTTTATTTTTTATTCCTTACCTATGCCGATAGTCTTGAGAGGCTATTTCAGCTTCTCTTTGACGTGTAGGTGAGCTCATGGGGTTCTAAACGCGAATGTTGTGAACGCTGGCCCTAGCAAGAGTAGTGCTTCGCAGAATCTACCACCGGATCGGAAACGCGACCCACTGAGAAGATCCGGCGAGAAACTCAGTGGGTTCTGTCTATGGGTTAATTCACTCGTCGAGCCCTCGATGGTGACCATACTTTTATACTGTATTTTTTGGAACTATTGGAATTGTAATTTTCGGCTCGATCGGTTATCGCAGTCTTGATACTAAGGTTGAGACTCCCAATAATTTCATTATATGCTTCCTCTACTTTTGATACTAGATGCCCGAATGCTTAAATGTACCTTCCACCTCAAGTTTTAAGATTTTTGAGAGATCATTGTATTCTAAATCTAAAACCAACTTCTATAAAATCTAGGAGAATAAAAGAGCTGTCTGCCACAAACCAACATAGCTCGGCAGTTTTCGGTTAGAGCCACAATGATGAGGAGCAAACCGGCTCCAGTAATACCACTCAGAATTGCACCGGAAGCGACACTCATGACTGTGAAGGAAAACTTTTCATAAAAGTTGATGAAATGTCAATGTTCTGTCGTTGTATCTGGCATTGTGGAATTCCTGGGTAGGTAACTTACAAGAACTGCTGGGCTAATCATTCAAGTCTAAAGCCACTGATTTTATGACTTAGTAGTATTAAATGAGGCTGAAATCTAAATTTACAAAGGTATTTTCCAATGCGTTCTATTTATATACTGTTATCTTAAAATTTCTTGTAAATCACAAGGACCAAACTATGAATTTAATTTTTGTAAGACCATACATTGAGTTTTCGAAGTCTGGTGCATATCATCATATTGCTTCCCATGGGTCAAGATGAGGGTCAGTAGGACGGTGCCAACTAATACTTGGCAAAAGGCAATTAGTAGCACTCCTGGAAAAAAGGGTTTTGTTATTTAAAATTAAGAAATGATTCCATCGTCTTGTTTGTGATCAATAATTTGTAAGCTACAAATTTAACCGTGTAATCGTTTGACGATTTGTTGACAAAATGGGGGTAAATTGGAATTGTGATCTAAGATTAAACTATGATGCATATTCACTAGGAAATCTACTTGTTTTTTAGGCCAGCAGGAAATCGCTGGTGTTTCTATGCATTGGGTTGAAGCAGCTAAAGTCCCTTGTCGCTTAAAAACCCGCGTCTGAGGCTTAGAGTGGGGTGGCGGCAGGGGTGATTCTTGCAGAGCACATGTCTTCCCAACATCTTGCTTCCACTGGAAGACGAATGGTCGGCAGTCGGCGCCACAAAAATGAGCCACTCGGTCGGCAGCCTATTCACAGTCTACTAGGTGGTGATGAATCTCTGGATCAAAAGTTCTATGATGAATAAAAAGCAGAATAAGAATGCTTTATTGCCTGGAAATAAGTTACAAATTCCACAGCAGCTCTCAAAATGGCAGCCGGGCTTGTGAATTGCAAAATGTAAAGGAACATTTGTGCTTCTGCTTGAGCTGCGTTCTCGTTTGTCACTGGACCTTGTATAATCTTCTGTTGTGCTTCGTGCCATTGTTTTATTATAAAGAATATTGACGTTTGGTTGATAGCCAAAAAAGAATGACAAGTTGCAATACTTTTGACAGTCACTCAAAAGAATAATACTATATAGGTCTATGGGTAATGTAGATTCTTAGTTTTTGTGATTACCTCTTAATTCATAGACCATAAAGTATTCGTGGCTTATTTTCGTAATTATAAACACAAATGTTTTTTTTTATTGCCTTTCTAGGCAGACGAGCATACGGCCCACCTGATGGTAAGTGGTCACCGTCGCTCATGGACGTCTGCAATGCCAGGGGCAGAGCCAAGCCGCTGCCTACCATAAAGTATTCTCCGCAAGCCTCGTTTGAAGAAGGACATGTCATAGCGCTCGGAAAAGACCGTGGAGGGGAGTTCATTCCAAACCGGATGGTACGTGGCAAAAAAGATCTTTGGAAACGCACTGTCGATGAATGCAGCGGTTCCAGATAATATGGATGAACTCTGCTCCGATGGCGGGAGGTGCGATTTTTGTTTGCTGTTGAAATGTTTCATATATTAAAAATATCTTTTTACCTATCTCTACGCTTACAATTTACTTTTGCAAAATTTCGAGAACTATTCATTATTAGGTTACTGAAAAACATGGAGAAGGGAGAACACGAAAACATGGAAAAACACTCATGGACAAGGGGAACAAAAGGGACTTCTACAGCTCTAATGAAACATCTACGTATTTTTTCATTACGTAGATAGATAAACGAGGTGGAAAATTAGTTACCGAAGTTCACTGCAACATGAATTATACCTGGAGACATTAAGTTCAGACTTAATTCAATATTTTATGACGGTCTTTCCACCTTTGAAACTGGTACGAATGTTTTTTTTTTATTGCTTAGATGGGTGGACGAGCTCACAGCCCACCTGGTGTTAAGTGGTTACTGGAGCCCATAGACATCTACAACGTAAAAGCGACACCCACCTTGAGATATAAGTTCTAAGGTCTCAAGTATAGTTACAACAGCTGCCCCACCCTTCGAACCAAAACGCATTACCGTTTCACGGCAGAAATAGGCAGGGTGGTGGTACCTACCCGCGCGGACTCACAAGAGGTCCTGACACCAGTAAATTTGTATTTTTAATCACAATTACTTAAAATAATTGTAAGGAATAGCACTAGTAGTAAAATATTGCAAAATGAGGTGACAAGAGAATACGTTTATATGCATTAAACTCAGTCCATGCTTCCTTTAAAGAAATGAACTTTATTTTCTGTTCACGAAAGGGTACTAAAATAAGCAATACCATTTTAGCTTCTGGAGAAGTATATTTCCACTATATATATTCATATCTATAGTTTTGGTCAACGTCATTTTAGGAAATAGTTCGAATTAAATTAGCTATTCTAAGCAATGAACGATATCAAAGGGAAATTCTGTAACAATAAATATTGGATCTAAAACTCGAACGACGCTAATCCGTGAAATACCGAGCGAGCTTCACAGCTCAATTGCAAGTTACACTCGCCGAATTTGCTCGGCTGCCAGAACTATCACAAAATAATATCAGAACAGAAGGACCAAATCGATCGCTCAGTGTGAACTAGACTGAAAATAGCTATACCAGTTTAATTCGGTAAACAGGTCTCACGTTAAATGGCAAATTCATTGGCATCACAACGTGGGTAAAGATTATTTCAAAACGTTCATGTTTCTAAGATTAAGAGCTTCCTTACAGTGTAGGCTTCTTACTACATATTTTTTTTTTTTGTTTTTTTTTATTATTGCTTAGATGTGTGGACGAGCTCACAGCCCACCTGGTGTTAAGTGGTTACTGGAGCCCATAGACATCTACAACGTAAATGCGCCACACACCTTGAGATATAGTTCTAAGGTCTCAGTATAGTCACAACGGCTGCCCCACCCTTCAAACCGAAACGCATTACTGCTTCACGGCAGAAATAGACATATATTAAGATGTTCTATTATAGAATTACCCCGATCGCCACCGACCCATTTAGCCTTATTCGCCGACCACACGACCGCTTACTACACGAGTAGAAACAAGTCCCTAGTCGCGAGGAAACTCCAGAGCGCAGCCATAATCTTAGGACAGTGGTTTCCAAAATTACGCATTTTTCTTGCAATAAATGTAGTTTACTATGGAAGAGATTGGTCAGCATGGATGTTTATTTAACTGTAGCTGTGTCGATTGAGGATTCTGTACAACACATTCTCCTTGTATTATGGCAATATCTGCTGTTTCAATTTCGACTAGACATTTCCTGATTGTGGACTGACCTGTTTCTGGAATGAGTTATTTGCGTTTGAAGACTTAATTGCCCATCGAGATAAATTTACTTGATGGAATTATTAAAGACATTTAAAAACAACTTTACCTTATAAACCGAAAAAAGACATTTTATATTTGCACTTGTCTTTTTATTTTTCTAAGTGAACATAAAAGCTAAATGTCCTCGATGATTTTCTAAGTCATCCATTCGATTGTGATTGAATTTGGTACAGTTTTATTGTTGGTGCTACAAGAAAAATTACTGTCATAATAAATCAATGTATGAAAAGTGACGCAGAAGTATTAATTCGTTTCAAGAAATCGGTTTTTTTTTCACGAAGTTGTCGTCGTCGAAGAAGACGTCCGGTGCGGTTGAGCGATGCACCGGTGTTCGAATCCCGCAGGCGGGTACCAATTTTTCTAATGAAATACGTACTCAACAAATGTTCACGATTGACTTCCACGGTGAAGGAATAACATCGTGTAATAAAAATCAACTCCGCAAAATTATAATTTGCGTAATTACTGGTGGTAGGACCTCTTGTGAGTCCGCACGGGTAGGTACCACCACCCTGCCTATTTCTGCCGTGAAGCAGTAATGCGTTTCGGTTTGAAGGGTGGGGTAGCCATTGTAACTATACTGAGACCTTAGCACTTATATGTCAAGGTGGGTGGCCTATTTACGTTGTGGATGTCTATGGGCTCCAGTAACCACTTAACACCAGGTGGGCTGTGAGCTCGTCCAACCATATAAGCGATAAAAAAAAAAACATAATATTGATATCGATAATCGCAACGAATCATAATCGGATTTCAGTAGGTATCTAATAAAAGCAAGTAATTATTATTGTTACTAATGTAACTTGAATTATTTCCAACGTAAAAATATAGCAATTATTATCGTTGGAAATCTAAACAAGGTAATTATGGACAGAATATAAAGTACTCAAAAAAACCGATACGCAATATGATTTTCGATTCTAGTTATTTATCGATTAAAATAATCACTGTGATGGTTTTTAAGCTGCATCAATGTTTTTGGGTCGTTTTAAACTTCATTATACGTTTGTCGATTGAATTGAAGTAATGGTGACTTGCAATCGAGAATGTTGTATGTAGTAACTGTAATTATTTTACATAATTTCTTTTCCGCTGATGCCATTAATTCTGTGAGTATTTTGTTAATCGCGTTACTTTTGATTTTACGGACGCTGACGTACTTACTAAATACTAGATGATGACTTAGTTTGATAACGCCATCTTGTTGTGTCTTTAAAGCGGTTAGTTGCCCTCAATTGAGAAAAATATTATTATTATTCGCCAATAGATGTCGGGAAGAGTTGATTATTGAAAACATGAATAAAACAACATTTTCTGAAAATAAATCGTAGCTAGATCGATCTATCGCCCCCGAAATCCCCTGTATACGAAATTTTATGAAAATCGTTGGAGCCGTTTCCGAGATTCAGTTTATATATATATATATAAGAATTGCTCGTTTAAAGGTATAAGATACAGTACGGTTGCCCTGTGGTTCAAACCCAAAAGAGGAATAATAAGTGCGGGCACCGTTCGTATTTTGCACCACGTTGGTAATTTATTAACCTTACTACGAATAATATTAACACGTTGGACGCCACATGTAAAATCGAGTATGTTCATTCAAGCCACGGTGCTCGCCGGTGAGCCCTATCTTACTTAAACGTTCGGGTCATTGGGGTCATCCGTGAGCCGCGTGAGTATTCTAATGTAAAAGCTTGTTACAAGCTACAGATTGCAGTTATCAAACAAAACGCGTATAGAAGTGAGCCGCGTGGCTCTTAAGCCGAACCAAATGCCTCAGTTTTCAAATCCAATAGAAAGCTGTAGTTTTTATCAAGATTAAAATCTATACTTAATATAAAAATGAATTGCTGTTCCTTAGTCTCGCTAAAACTGGAGAACGGCTGGACCGATTTGGCTAATTTTGGTCTTGAATTATTTGTGGAAGTTCAGAGAAGGTTTAAAAGGCACATAAATATGAAAGTTCCGGAATTAAATAAAAATACCATTTTTTTTTTTTTCCTTTAATGTGTCCCCCGTTGGACGGATTCCTTTTGTTTGTTTTAAGTTTATTTTATACAAAAGTTTAGGTCTTTTATTTATCGATTGAGGCACTACGAAGTCTGCCGGGTCAGCTAGTATCTTATAAAGTAGACGATAAAAGTCGTTAATTTTTATCTTTCGTGAAAATTATCGCATTTTATAAATTTTAAAATGAAAATTTCAAGTTGATAAAAATTACTGATTCTCTGATTTTGGACTTGGCCCGAATTGTATAATATGCTGGGCCCACCGGTGGGCCGCATGGCGATCAACGTGTTAACATCGTCGCGCGTTACTGGAATCAATTTTCAGGGACCGTTCAAGTGTACACCAGTCCGAGTAGGCCCTTGTGCCAATCCTCCCTTGCCCTTGGACCCAGATCCGGCGGCGTTGTTCAATGCAGAGATTGTAAATTTAACAAAAAATATCAAGGTCATTCGATTCAATGTCACCGTTCTAAGAGAATCATCCAGTAAACAGGTATGTTCATCATGAGTTCTAAGCGCGTGGGAAGGACATCTGGAGAGGCTTAAACGACAAAGGAAAGATCTTCCACCGAGCGGGTGATATGATATGATATTCCGAATATTGTTGTTCGGAACTTTTATATATGCAAGCTTATCTTGAAAATGTCGTAAGCGAGATTCAGGCATC